AAGTAATATGCAAACGTCAAGTATAGTGGTCGATCGCAACTTAGTCTACCCATAACAATATTTCGGCCATAAACTAATGAATCACAAATGGAGTAATCATTATTTCAAGTACAGAACACTCCAAACACAGGAAGGGAAGACATACATACATACCTCTAACTTATGGATAGCTTTTGCAACATGCCAGACAGAACTTGTATATCCTTCAATAAGGCATTCCTGAAAATCACAAATGCTCCAATGAGGCCCATAAAATGTTAGAAAAACATGCTACACCAATTATGTAGCTGTACCTGCAAGGAATAGTCAAGCTCCAAAGAAAGGACATCCTCGTCCAAAGGAACTAGATACAAGGGATATTCTCCGATTGTCAACTTTTGATGAACTTTCTCTTCCTCCAGAATCTGTGCAGCTAAAAAAAAGAGAATTAAATTGAAGATGCCTTAGTGCAAAGAGAATTTATGGAGTGGATTCCTGGATTCATGTGTCCTAGGCTCCTAGCTCACAAAATTTTGAGAACAATAGCTAAGCATGTGTTTGGGCATCCGCGAGTTAAGGGGAAGAAAAACTTGCCAGGATAAGATTACTACTATAAAAAGGAAAATGTCTACCAATCATCAAAACAACAGGACAGTATAATTTTTTGGCACCTGAAAGTATGTAAATGGTATAATAATTGCATACAGGCTATGAATGATGTGTTTGCCAATTTGTAAACGTTTATTTATTCCTCAACAAATATTACAACTCGGAAAAAATCTATATTGAATTATGATTTACAATTGTTTGGCCATTAGCATTGCAGACACATGAAATTCAGGGGAGATTACGAAAGATAGGTTAGAATTTATTTATTTTATTATACATAAAAATAGTTAGCACTCCTGGATCCTCTTCTGGCTAGTCAAATTCGGTACTCCTTTATAAATACCAAACAATGGTGACGAAGTTCAAGAGAAATTGAAATATTTTATCGCTAGTTTAGACTAGAAGATCATAGCCAGCATTATGACTTAGTGTAAATGCAAGCTCAAGCTTCTTAATTTTAATTGTCAAAACAACACAGCCAATGGGTCACGAATTAAAGTAAAAGGGCATCAGCTTTATATAACAGTGAAGCAGCAGGCAAGCTGAAATCCTTGAGAAGCTCATTCAGATTGTAAAGAAATATTATATGAATAATCTGTAACATAAGTTCCATCCTACGGTAACTACGGTACATGTCACTGGTATGGATAAAACTGTATTTGGGAAGAAATAATGCAAAGATTTGTGGTGTTCAGATTGGAAAAACATTTCAGGCCTGGCAAGCATCATGAGCAATGAAAAGAACACGTGTTCAGTTAATACCTGTCATGTCAACATTTTAGTACATAAGGTCATATTCATTGGCATCATGTCTAATAAACCTATTGGGCTAAGAACTATAGGAATACACTCGGGAATACTCTGAAGGACTGATTCCGTCTTGCCAACTTCAAAAACCTAGTCAAACAAAGCTTAACTATAATTATGATATCTACTAGTGCAGATTTCACCCATACAAGATGGAATTCCATTCTTTCTGTGCAGTAGTAATGTATGAGATCAATAAATTCCACAGTACACACATGCCATCCATACAGGACAATGGTGATTGTGTTCGAGTCATCTCTTATTGTAATGAGGTCTATAATTATCGAATATCGCATGAGTCTCACAAACTATTCTACCATACTAGAATTATAAGTCCAAACAACATAATAGAACATGCATGTACATTAATGGAAATAATATATACAGAAACCAAAATACCTTCTCACAGGCAACTATACGGCGTGGTACAAAATAGAGGTGGTATTCCCTATGGAGCCCTTTGGATTCGTTATTCTTAATTTGATTAGCTACAAATTTCATGAAGTTCAACTGGGAGCGAACAAGATACACCACTTTGGGGCATTCCGTCCGCAGAGGGTCAGCCGAGAGGATCCGCAGCTCCGTGCCATATTCCTAATCAACATAAAAAAACAAGTCTGAGCTATCCAAGTTGAAACAAAGAAAGTAACTGCAACGTGGCTTTACTCTTCTGCTTATGTATGAAAGGTAGTTGAAGGAATATTCCCATGGCACATTCCCAAAGTCTAAATTATGTATTAAGATATTAGTTAGGGACATGAAACGTATCGCTTATTGGCAGCAAATCCAGAGTCTATCACCAAACCTTTAGCACCGAGGTCTGCAGGATCAGCAAGAGGGTGCCCGCAAGCTTCGGATCAATGACCAGACATTTCTTCCCCCTAATCTGATACACAAGGAATTCAAACTCTTCAATGTCAACAAAAGTACATAAGATTGCAATAGGGAGTGCAGGAGCAGAAACACACACTCTTGATTATGCTGAGAAGTTCCCAACACCTTCATATTTCAGGAATACATCAAAAAGATGTTCTTCTTAACACAAAGAAGCATGCATATGTGAGTAATTAGATAGCATGTCGAAAAACAGCGACAGTGGCAAAATATAGAGGAAAACTCCTAAAAGGGGGGGATGAAAAGTATTACACATGATGTTCGCAACTTATAGATGGCATCCATTCTGCTCAATGAAGTGAAGTAATTAACATCAAAACCATCCACTAATCCACTAACAGAACATCCCAATGCAGCTATAGTTCACACACAGAAGCAAACTACAGAACTAGAAAAGTTGGAACAAGTAATAACAGACCTAAGGTTTGGAATAGCATTGTTGCGTTCCAAAGGCCAAAAGCTTGAACTGCCCAGAAAATCTAAGAAAAAATTACAAAAAAAAAAAAACAGCATACTCATATGAGGCTAATGTTCATGCACATGGCATACACTTGACATGAATCCAAATTGCCTACAGAAAATTTGCTAGCATGGCACGAGCGATGTAAGGTTGATTCATTCACACACAGTGTCAACTATTCGTCATTCGCTCAGGTTGGTTGGTATGAGATGCAATTTTGTGGGACTCGCCCGCTGGGAGCACGGTGGGCAGCGCGGAAGCCACCATCCATCTCCTGCGGCGGTAAATCCATCGTCCCAGATCCATCCCCAAATAAATTGCAGCACGCATCAAACCCCGGGATCGTCCAAATCGGGGAGCTAACCAGAGGCGTGGGGCACGACACTTGAGAGAGGGAATCTCACCTGAGAGGGCCCTCGCCCCTCGATTCGGGCCGCTGCTGCCGGTCGTCGCCTTCGCGGGCGGCGGCGAGCTGGGGCCGTCAAGTCGACGGCGGCGAGGCGGGTCGGGGACGGGAACGCGCGGGAAGGGGGGAAGGAAGGGATGGGACGGGTGGTGGAGGTGCTGCAGGGGGGCGGAGAGCGGCCGGCGGGGGGAGGGCGGAGCGCCGGCGGGGGAGGAGGCTAGCGGGCGAGGAGAGCGAGCCTGGGCTGCGGAGGGAACGGAACTCCCACGGCAGGCAGCCTGTTTGCAGCCCACGAACGAAACTCCCACGTTTTTTTTCTCGGGATCTCGAAATTCCCAGGCTCACGGGCCATGGCCCAATCGCTGCCAGCTAGCTACAGCTCTCTCTGTCATTGCTCGCTCGTGCTTTTTTTCCTTGCTTGTCTCGCCACAGTATTCTCGGTTTCTAGGCTTGCAAGTACGTTTTTTTTCCAGAAAAACAGGCTACGGTTTTATTTTATTGATTTAAAGAAGTTCGCATATTTGGAAAATGTTTGGGAAATTTTAAAAAATATGAATTTAAAATAGTTTGTGAGTTGAAAAATGTTCACAAAATTTAAAAGAAAAGTATGTATTCATGAATTCAGAAAATATTTGCATCTTTGAAAAAATATTCACGGATTTAAAAAAAAGTTCACAGATTTGAAAAAAGTCTGCGCGCTTCAAAAAGTTTACATATTTTGAACATTCAAGAGTTGTCAAAGGACTTGTGAATGTGTAGAATCGAACATGCACATGAATGGCAACCGTACACATGTACATGCATACAAGTTCAGATTGTGCATCTTTACTTGAATTTTCCACTAAATGGTAACATGTCTATGTGCAGAATTCTGAATTGGATATCAACCGATTGTTCTTTCATGACAAAAGGGAAATATTGACCGGGTTCAAAACAATGCAATGATAAAAGAGGAAGAAGGGAAGAGAAAGACAGATTGTTGAGACATACACAGGATCGATGAGTAAGGCAGCTCGTCCCCTCTGGCGATCGCTTCTTTCAAGAATTATACTTCTTTTCCTTCGTTGTCTCGCGCCCTTTTTCTCGTTCTCGCATGGTTTGTCCTCTCGACGTGAGTTGGATTTGGCTGCAGAGTGCACGGCTTTTAGACAGCCCGTTCCATTTGCTTGGTTCCACTTGCTTCTGTTGGATGCATAAGGGGTGGTGCTACGCATCTACTTCCTTTGTCCCATAATATAATACAAGATGTTATTACAATCAATATGCGAGTATATCAGTTGTAATACTTTTTTATATTTGGGAGCGGAGAGAGTTCGGTGTTTCTATATGATCCTGTTCCGGCGAAGGAAGGTTGATGGCGTGTGTGCATGCGTCGTTCTGGACGGTCAGAACACAGGATAGGAACCCGTGTAGGAGTTCTGTTGGGGCAATTTCATACTTTCCTAGTCTCTAACGGAGTTTGTGTGTGGTTCTATTTCAAATTCCGTGAAAATTTTGATTAGGGTCCATATCTGCAAGGGGAACGAATTTGAACCAAAACTTCGAAGTTTTTAAAACCCATGTACTTGACCAGCTTAATTAAGACCGTTCAAAACTTTCATAAGACAAGACTTTGGAATGTCAGTGATATAACTTTTTTTTCCGCTAGCAAGATACTATTATAATGCATTAGTTGATTAAAACTGTACCACATCTGCAAAAAGGAAAAAATAATTATACACAAGTACACGAAACAAAGTTTAACTCCGGGATACATGCGAGCATACTGGCTAATTACTCAAAGTACAAGTTAACTGTAGAAAAAAATCTTAAGTAGGTAGGACTAGTACTTTTCTCTGACAGTAACTAAGTGCATATCTCATTCGTCTTCCTGTCATACTCCAACCACCGGCACTTACATATTTTAAGTCTCTCAACCACTTCACTCATGGTGGGTCTGTCGTTCACATCGTCCTTGAGACACTGCACCGCGATCTTGCCCACCTCCTCGAGGCACTCCTCGTTCTCCTTCGCACCAGATGCAACCTTCGGATCAAACATCTCCCTCGCCGCCCCGCCCATGGAAGCCTTGACATAATCCAGTGGCAGGCTCTGGTTCCCGTCATACCTTGCTTTTTTCCTGGTCACGAGCTCCAGCAGTACGATGCCAAAGCTGTACACGTCGCTTTTCTCGGTGAGCAGCCCGGTCTTCATGTACACGGGGTCGATGTAGCTGCTGTCCCCGACCACCCAGTTGGTATGGTCCTTGTCGATGGACATGAGCCTCGACGTCCCGAAGTCTGACACCTTGGGCACGAACCCGTCATCCAGGAGGATGTTGCCCGACTTCACGTCTCCATGGAGGATGGTCCTCTGGCTCGCCTCCGAGTGCATGTATCCGAGGGCAACCGCTGAGTAGATGGCAATATCCAGGCGTTTTTCCAACGGGAGAGGTTTCTTATTATCGCCGTGGAGTACGTCATGGAGGCTCCCCCTGGGCACAAACTCGTAGACCAGCATGGGCACCTCCGTCTCCAGGCAACATCCTAGCAACTGGACCAGGTTCCGGTGGCTGATATTGGACTGGATCGTGATCTCATTCGCGAAGGACTCCTTCTTCCAGTCCTGGTTGTTGGGGATCGAGCATTTCACGGCGACCCGTGCACTGTCTCCAGCGCTGATGGTTCCCTTGTAGACCTTGCCGAAGGCGCCTTGGCCGATGATGTCGCAGTAGTTATGTGTGATGTGGTCTAGCTTCTCCTTTGTGAAGATCTCGATCTTGAGACTTTTGAGTAACTCTCCACCGTTCTTATTGAACCGGTCCCTCAACTTTCTTTTCTCACGTTCCATGTGTAAGAATATTAGTAGCACAGCGAGTAATGCAATGGCACCGATTGTTCCTGCAGGAGGACATGTGTCACGTGAACTTCCATGTTTTTTTTACCTAGTGATGATATGTACCGTAACATTTTGCCATTTCTTGAATGATCGAGAAACAATTATGTCTAAGTCATATTTAACAACAAGCGGGGGCTAAACATGAGATTCACAGAAGTACAAAGAGATAAGAAGATGTTGATTGGATGGCTACACGACCGTCGATTGAGCCATAGACATCAATGTACTATTTATTAAATATTGAAATTCAGTGGAATAGGAATACATTTGTATGGTGAAAAAATATAGTACCGTATGTTAATAGATTTCAAAACATAATTATTAGTTTCCAAACTCCACTGAGCTCTTTAATATTTTTTTCTTCTGACAGTACATTTAATAGTTTCTAAACAAATCCAAAACTAACATGGAAATATGTTTGCTAGATTTCATGGGAAAATGTTTTCGAAGGTGCCCTGCACAGCAACGACAAATATGTATGCATGATGACCTAAAATTAGCAAACAATGACATCATTACTTACATTATGTACCATCATGTACATTTTATTTTTCAACGCAGCTCACAAATAAACCATTTTAATTTCTCACGTCTATACCATAGGATTTGTTTATTTTTCTTAAAAATAATGAGAGCATTACCTATTACTGCCACTGCAGCCGTGGACACGATGGGTTCACAACCCTTGTAACTTTTACCATCACCTCTTCGTCCGAAATTGCATTTACACTCATAACCACCTTCTCTATCATGGCATGTCCCGCCGTGACAAGGATACATGTTCTTGTACATTGTTGACTTTGGGGATCTCCGCAGCTCGCACTCATTAATATCTGAAGATGTATGAAGAATAATGCATATGATCAGTTTGGTGAATACAAAAACAATGACAAAGCTCACCGATATTTATTCTTAAGTTTTCTATTCTTAAAACTATGATTGAGCATTAAAAAAATCCTGAGATGTCAAATCATACACATTACATTTTCATACTGGTAACATGCAATACAATCTAAATATTGCAAATTACTCACTTTTGCAAGGAATGCACAATATTAATGGTAGCATCTGGAAAAATGAAGTTCCTTTAAATAAATTATTATAAAAAAATGCAATGAAGTAACAAACTTGTGCATCCATCTTTTATGTATGGATTGCCGGTGTATCCCTTGGAGCATCTGCAGAAATAGCCATGTTCTCCATTACTGGCATTTACACAGTAGCTCTGGGTGCTAGCACAAGCGCCATGGGAAAGATTCTCATTGTTATCCCCTTTTGGCGCCGATGGGCATGTTCCATTCCTAATTGCCCAGTCAAGAACAACTGGAATGACTCTGTCGCCTCCAAGTCTATTGAGGAATGTCATATTCCCAGTTAGGTCACTTTTTGTGAAATTGTACCTATTCAACAAATTCAGCCGTTAGTATAGGTAAAGATTTTTCAACTTGCAATGTATATATGTAAATATATATGTCTAGACTAACAACACGACAATCCGTACAAAATGTGTAACATCTATAAAATGATGGGTGAGACTAGAAAGCGATAATACATTTAACCATACTATGCGATGTCACCCATCCGCTTTCACACATGCACACAAGCATGACATCACTAAGACTCTTCTATCTCTTTAACTGACAAACTTATTCAGGATCTGCTTTCACCATTGGTTCGTTGCCACAAGATCTTCCAAAGTAGATCCCATGGTTACATGTTTCTATGTTTTTTCTTCTGTTTAGTAATTACCAAGTTATAGTAACCTCATTACTAAGTTATAGGAAGGTCATAGTAACTTGGTTAGTAGTTTACGGAATGTTACTCTCCACCCATGTAAAACATGTATGATAATACTTTTATGGTGAAATATCATCTCTTAATCCTTGATAACACTTCAATACTCACTCTTTAGGGCTTGCATAAATATTTTACATACTTTTTCGCAGGAGAGTTTGAAACAACAAAAGAAGGTCCTGCTCTTTTAAACATATTCTCACGATTATCTATTGGGCACTAATAGGCGCCGGCGCACCGGCCCAAATTTGGGCCGGTCGCACGGCAGCCACACGATGCGTGCATCCCGCGCCTCACGATTCAGCGCCCCCTCCCCCCTTGCCCCGCGTCGTTGGGAGAGAGAGAGAGAGGCTGCGGCGAGCGCCCGCGACCCTCGTCGTAATCCCCTCGCTAAGATTGAAGCACCACACGCGCTTGCGTTGGCCTCCCGCGCTCACGTTGACCCTCGTCGTAATCCCCTCGCCAGAGATTGTCGCCAGATGTAGCACGCGATCTCAGCAAAAAAACGAAGTCTTAGCAAAAAGCAGCGATGGTTGCAACAAAAAAACATAGTCGCCGCCGTCGAGCCTGCTGCTCCACCATGAAAAAAGGATGTAGCAAAAATCCTCGAAGGATGTAGCAAAAACTGCAATGGTTGCAGCAAGAAAGTCGCCGCCGTCATGAGAGTCAGCTCGGCCGTGGATGAATGTAGCAAAAAATTAAAACGGTTGTAGCAAAGCAAATCACCTGTTGCTGGAAAAACATATACTGGTTGCAACAAAAAAGAAGAAGCAAAAGAGCATCATGGTCACCATGGTCACCAACTCACCATGGGCGCCGTCAATGAAGAAGCCAGTTCCAGCAATTCTGGACGCCGGTTCCAGCAATCTCTGCGGCTGGTTGCAGCAAAATGATACGCTCATGACATCGATTCCAGCAAATCGAGAAGCCGATTCCAGCAAATCTCGACGCTGGTTCCAACATTAACACAACACACCCCGTTGTAGCTTCTGCGCGTTGGTCGTGGCTTTTTCGCCGGCCGGTTGCAGCTTTTCCATGGCCCGTTTGTAGCACGGGTTGTTGCCACCATTGTAGCACGCACAACCGGTAATCCTGCCGGTCGGTGCTTCCGCTCCGGCCAACAACGACGACGGTACATCCCAGCTTGCAGCTCTTTTACTCCATTCACCGCAGCGATGGCCGCTATCGAGCCGGTGGCCGCATGGTGCGTGGAGGGAGGGGGCAGGGAGGAGCAGAGGTGTTGTAGCGCAGGGCGAGGGAGAGGATTGATCTGGTAGATGAAAAGACACTCTTTCTTTGTACCAAGAAAAAGCCACTCTTCATGTAAGGAAAGTCAAAGGAATTTGAACCTGGTGGTTCACTCTTCTGCCATGTTTCAACATGTATCCAAGAAAGAGCCACTCTTCATGTAATATAAGGTAAGTCAAAGGAATTTGAACCTGGCGGCTCACTCTTCTGCCATGTTCCAACAAAGAAACATATATGTATCCCATGATTAGTATCATTATACTATGTTTCTGTCCTTTGGCATACACTAGCAAAAGGGCCCGTGCGTTGCAACAGGATAATAAAATTGTAGTCTTTAAATCAAGTTCCAAATATTCACACTCCATGTCTATACACGTATTTGAATATTTGTGCACCAACCGGCACGCATGTGGGCGTAAGGCACGTGCATTCTAACATGCTCACAATGGATCGATATGTTCGACTTGATCCTTGATTTGTGTTTTTTTAATACATCCTCAATGCGTGTTGTCAAACATGATATCGTTTCGGGTACATGGCGTGTATAAGGAGGAGTTCACCACCACTGAAGGAGTAGTTGGTTAGATGAATATCTTGTAATCTTTATCTTCTTATCTCTAGCCTTTCTTCCTTTCCAAGATGTAAATCTCCTAACAACTTTGTACGGGTGATTGGGCTCGCAACCCCTCTATATAACACGCAACACGTCTACCAGGATCGGTAAGACGTTTACCGCAAGTCGCACATGGTATCAGAGCCTTCTTCTTCCACTAAACCCTAGCCTACCCATCTCCATCAAGTGCGCAGCCATGTCTTCCTCCTCCGCCTCCTTCCAGTCATCGCTCAGCGGTGGAGTCCCGGAGAAGCTCTCCCGCACCAACTATGTCTTGTGGCGGACCCAGATCACGCCGCAACTGCGGGCGCCGGCGTCTTCCACTATGTCGACGGCACGACGACTGAGCCGGACAAAGTCCTCATCAGTAAGGACGCCGCCGGCAAAGAGACGACTGGGCCAAATCCCCTTCATCCACTTTGGGTGAGGGAGGATCAGTAGGTCCTCGGATACCTGCTCCAAAACCTCTCCAAGGAGGTGCTCGTCACGGTGACCACGATCACCATGGCGCGCGAACTGTGGGTGGCACTGGCGAGCATGTTCTCGTCGCAGTCACTTAGCCGCGTCAACAACATCCGTACAACGCTGATCAATGCGCAGAAGGGAAATCAATCGGTGGCCTCCTTCTTCGCCAACATGAGAGGTCTCGCCGATGAACTCGCCGCGGCGGGCAAACCCATCCAGGACGACGAGCTCATGTCCTACATCATCCACGGGCTAGACCAAGATTACCAGCCCCTTGTCTCCGCACTGGATGCTCGCGTCACCCCGGTAACTCTTGATGAACTTTTCGCTATGCTCAGTAACTTTGATCAACGCATGGCGCAGTACCAAGACTCCGGTGGTGGCTTCAAATCATCGGCCAACTCTGCGTTCAGAGGCCGTGGCGGTGGCTCTCGCTCGCGCTCATCTCCCCGTGGCAAGGGGAGGTTCGGCTCCGGTGGTGGTGGCTACTCCAACAACTCGCGTGGCGGCGGCCGCTCGGGAAACTCCAAAGGGCGCCGCGGTGGTGGCAATGGCAGCTCCAACAGATCACGCCCGGAATTGCCTCGCTGCCAAATCTGTGGCAAGCCTGGACATAGCGCGAAGGACTGTTGGTACCACTACGAAGAGGATGATGGTGACTCCTCGCGAGATGAAGAAAAAATTGCTGCTGCGGCCGATGGCTCCTATGGAGTTGACACAAACTGGTATGTGGACAGTGGCGCCACCAACCACATCACCAATGAGCTAGAGAAAGTCACCATGAAAGAAAAATATCGTGGCAAGGACCAAATTCACACGGCTAGTGGCGAAGGTATGGGCATACGTCACATTGGTCATTCAATTTTTAATACCCCTAGTCGTAAAATTCATCTTAAAAGAATCTTGCATGTTCCTAGTGCTCATAAAAATCTTCTCTCCGTTCATAGAATAGCCATTGACAATCATGTTTTTCTCGAGTTTCATCCTTATTTCTTTTTGATCAAGGATCAGGCCACGAAGAAAGTTCTCTATCGAGGTAGATGCGTTCGAGGGCTCTACCCGTTGATTCCGGAGTTTAGAAGATTCAATAAACAAGCTTGTGGTGCTATCAAGCTTTCGTCCACACGATGGCACGATCGTTTAGGACATGCCTCTTTTTCTTTAGTTGAAAAACTACTTAGGAAAAATAAGCTCCCGTTTGTTGGTGAGCGAAACATTGAAACTATTTGTGATTCATGTCAGTGTGCTAAAAGTCATCAATTACCATACCCTATATCTACTAGTGTCTCCACCAAACCTTTGCAAATTGATCTTTTCTGATGTGTGAGGGCCTGCACCCTCTTCTGTTGGCAGACACACGTATTATGTGAGTTTCATCGATGACTATAGCAAATTTTCATGGATCTATCTCCTTAAGAAAAGATCGGATGTGTTTCAAGTTTTTCAAAACTTTCAAGCACTTGTTGAAAGAAAGTTTGATAGTAAGATTATTACTGTCCAATCCGATTGGGGAGGGGAATACGAGAAACTTAATTCCTTCTTCCAAAGCATAGGCATATCTCACCATGTGTCATGCCCGCATGCTCACCAACAAAATGGGTCGGCCGAACGCAAGCATAGGCACATTGTAGAGGTTGGCTTGGCCCTCCTAGCCGGAGCTTCCATGCCCCTCAAATTTTGGGATGAGGCTTTTCTTACAGCTGTTCACATCATTAACATGCTATCTAGCCGTGTCATCAATAATGAAACACCCATGGAACGCCTCCTCCACACAAAACCAGACTACACCTCTCTCCGTGTCTTTGGTTGTGCTTGTTGGCCCAATCTTCGTCCTTACAACAATCGCAAGCTTATGTTTAGATCAAAACAGTGTGCTTTTCTTGGTTATAGTGCACAACACAAAGGTGTTAAGTGCCTCGACATCTCCACTGGTAGGGTTTACATCTCTCGCGATGTTGTTTTTGATGAGACGAAGTTTCCCTTTGCGGATCTCCATCCCAATGCCGGCGCACTCCTCCGCAAGGAAATTTTGCTCCTACCCTCTCATCTCTCTGGCTATGATCAAGGGGGTATTACAAATTGTGTTGATCATATGTTGACTAACCCTACTGATAGTCTCCTTGAGCCTTGTGATAATGCAGAAAACAGTGGTGTTCAAATCGCAGAAAATGGCAAAGAAAACGGGTCAACAGGGCGTTATTTCATGTGTCCTGGTCCAGGGGACAGATCCTCTTCGGGATCGGCGC